GTGTTGCAGGTCAGTGACACAAAGCAGAGCATAGGGGGCTGAGTCCAGGTTTTAAGGGGAGCTGTTATCTCATTACTCACAAGCTGTAATATGGCTATTTATATTAAATGTTGAAAAGTGCAATGTTTGTGCTTGTCATGTAGTCAACTATTAAAGAATTTCCATTTCTGATTTGCAAAAGGCAATTATTGTTCCAGTGATTACTCCACATAACTGAAGTATACAAATTAGCCTTAGCTATTCTCCTGTTCTGACTTTAAAATGATACATAATTATTTTCTGCATTATCAAATAAAAAATGTGTAGATAGTTTGCTGCTCTAACCAGTAAGGTTCAAGAATGGAAAAATATGTTTGCAGATTATTTACTTACTTGTTGTACAAAGTTTCCTATTAACTTTTTTTTTTTTTTTTAAGCAGAGTTTGATTGTGTTTATTACAAATAACATCAGTCTGCATCGAAAAAATATAATATCTTTGAATAATTGTGCTGCTAAGTCTTAAAGCCTAAGTTTAGTCAAAAATGTTTATAAAAATCAGCACAATGGATATCAATGGGTTGTGTCCTTTCTGCTGCTGGCTGAAGATTTAGTTGATCCCTCCTACCCTGGCTGCTGTAATGTTCTGGTGCTGCGGGGTTTCATTAACCCAAGGGATCTGTGTCAGAGGGCTGACTATGCCCACCCTTTCTGTCCACCTCTTCTATTCACAAAGTCTAAATTTGGCAAAAAAATTTAATTACAAAGGACAAAAAAAGATCAGCACAAGGCCCACCTCCTTCTTCATTCATAAAGGTTGTACTTTAGCTTCCATGAATGAAAAACAATCTATGAATGGAGGACAGGTGGATGAATGAAAGATTTTTCATTCAAAGGTCCTTCATTCACAGACTGTTTTTTTTCTTCATAGAAGTACAGCTTCATTAAATGAAGGAGATGGGCTGAAAGGGTAGGCATAGCCGACACTCTTGATGAGTGGATATGACAACAGCACAAGGAACATTGCATTGAGCTTAAAGCAGCAGGAAACCACAAAAAAAACAAAACAAAACAAATCTTCGCCCTGAAGTTAAGAGCATAATGTGATAGTATGCATCACAAACAAGCACATTATGTAAGGCTTACTTAAAATGAAGCCCTCCAGCTGCAAGCCGTCACTGCTGAAAGGGCGTTCATCTTTCCCCAATCTTCTTTGTGGGTTCGCAAGCTAAAGCCACTAGAGTAGCCAAGCCGTAATGACGTAACTCCTGCTCATGCATGTGGGAATCACAGCCGTAGCACAGCTCTCTGAGTGGATAGCATGTCATCCATTGAGAGAACAGTGAGCTGCTATACAAGTAAATATCTCCTAATCAGTCCATGTCAAGTCAATTGCATATTTACATATAACTTTACCTACTGTATATATCTCTGGCATTGCTATGTATGTTTTTCTCATACTATTAGTTTGTAAGGGTAAGGGAGGTTTTATTTTATTCATGAATGGTGTACTTAAATCATTATAAAAATACATGTTTTTAAATATTTCCTTCTTATTATATTAACATAACCATTTATTGTAAATGATAGCTTGGCAGTGACAAGTACTCTTTATTAAGAATTCATGGATCTATTAGATCTCTAATCCCTCCTCTGCTCTCCAAGGCAACCAATCAAATCAAGATTGGTTTGATCGACTGTTTCCTTGGCTGATATCAGCCAGGAAAACACAGAACTGAAACTGGAAGTGATGAAATGCTTGTCACTTTTGGTTTCTTTCATAATGGGTTTTGAGGCCCATGCCTCTTTTCCCAGCCAGCTAGCTTGAAAAGGAGGTATGGGCCTTGAAACACATAGCCATGCCCCGACATCACTTCCTGCTTGGGCACTTCCTGTCCTCGCCTGTGCTTCATTGATCCACATTTGCTGTATCCTGTTTCCCATCCTAATGCTTGTTACCCCAGCTACCACACTCCACCACCACTGCAGAGGATGCATCTTGGGATCCAGGCTGCCTCCTCCTTCCAGTTGCAGACGCATTCATGACTATAATGCATAAGATCATCCACACACAGTGAGTTGCCAATTATTGTGAGTTGTGTCCACCTCTCTACCTTGTTCCACTTAGTTTGGAGCCCCTTTGCTGTCTCTTTAGCTATTGCAGGGGCCATTCTGACCATATCCAGTGTATCTACTGTGATAGTTTCTTTGGCGTCCTTCACAGCTGGGAATTATTTTGAGAGCCATGATAAGCTCAAGTAGTTTCACTTCTTGTGAGTTGCTAATTGTCTTCCTTTAACCACTTGCCCTCCAGAGGATTTACCCCCCCCCCCCTTCCTGACCAGGCCATTTTGTGTGATACGGCACTGCGTTACTTTAACTGACAATTGTGCTGTCATGCAATGCTGTACATTAATAAAATGTATGTCTTTTTTTTTCCACAAATAGAGCTTTCTTTCGGTGGTATTTGATCACCTCTACATTTTTTATTTTTTGCTCTAGAAAAAAAAAAATTTTTTTTCTTGTGGTATATATACTGAATTTTAGTAACTAGTAATGGCGGTGATCAGCGACTTATAGCGGGACTGTGGGACTGCGGTGGACATCCCAATGACACTAATTCAGTGATCAGTGCTAATAAAAAGCAGTGACACTGTACTAATGGCACTAGGCAGGAAGGGGTTAACGTGTGGGGCAATCAAAGGGTTAACAGTGTGCTGTGTGCTGTTTCACTTGTATTTGTGTCCGCGTGCTTCACTGTAATCACACTGCTTTGCGTGGCTGTGCTGTGCACTGCCAGCCAAAACAGTGTGCATAAGCAGACAGGGAGGAAAACTGTATTGTTTACATACATTTCTCCTCCCCATCGAAGATGCTTGGTAATCACTGGGAGTCAGTGAGTAATCCCCGGATGGGACCCGGTGATTGACAGTCGCGACCACGAATGGCAGTGCGACTAGGGAGCACGCGCCCCCTACCTGGAAATGCAAAATCATGTATACTGTATATACATGATTTTGTGCACCCATGCCTCTCTGTAGCAGTATATCTGTGTGCTTTCAACTGTTAGCTGTGTGTTGTGTGCTGTTTTACATAATGTGTTGTGTGTGTGTGTTTTACTAGGGAGACATTATGCTTTGCATTTCTCTGCTGTGCAGAGAAATACAAAGCAGCATGTCCTTGCTGGCAGAAGAGAGAGGTCTCTCCCCTGTCAGTTTTATGCAGTGATTGCTGGGTGCCAGCAGAGAATCTCCAGCCAGGACCCGGAGATTGACATCTGTAGCCACCAAGGGTGGCGTAGGTAGGGCAGTGCGTGTGCCCCCTACCTGGAAATGTAAATCATGTATATATTCTACGTTCTACTATAGGGCAGCGAGCAAGCGGTTAATGAATGTTTATACAGTCCTTAGTCTGCACACTTTGCCCTTTTGTATGTTTTTCGTCTATCAATCTCTTCAGTCTCTCAGAAATGCTGCGTTAAGTGTACCAACTTGGATTCCTTAGTGGCCCTTAAATGCCATAAGATTTGTCCTGGGAATCTGAACCACACTGTCCTTTCCATGCATGTATTTTATCTCAGCTCAGGTTTCCCCCATTAAACCATATTGATAATTTTTAACTAAAAATTAAACCACATAAATTTATCCTGCCTCAGGGAAATGGAATGATATACATTTTAGTGACTTAGTGTTAGGGTTCTAATCTTGACTTTTTCAGTGTAAAGGGACAGAAGAATTATGCAATGAAGGTTAATGGGAGAGAAAAGACACAAGTGGAAAGGCGCAATAAGGGCTACAATTAGAAATTACAATGGCCGTAGTTGTTTTAAACTGCTCTTAGTATATCTTAATAAAGAATTACTTCATCTTTAAAATGACCTAAATATTTATTTTATCATGCTTTCAACTTTGACACATACATTTTGAAAGAAGAATTTGTAGTCATAAGACCTCTGAACATCCATTACTATCTCTCCTATCATTTTATGTAGCAAATTAAAAACTGGTCTATACCTGATACACATAGGACACAATGTTCTCACATTTACAAATACCAGCATGTACTGTGTTCTTTCAGATAAATATCATTATCAAGCACAACCCAAAGAGCATACTAAGAAAACCAAAGACTAAAATAGTGTTCTGGGGTTTTAAAATATTGCACACAGTTACAAAAATAGATTTATTTTCCTATTTTTTTAGAAAAATAAATAATTATCTCAATGGTAGCTAGGGAAAAACATAGATTTTTTTTTATTATTTTAATGTTTTCTAATATAATTTATAAAATCATTTGCAGATAGATGAAAGTAGTTAATTGATCCACCAGGTTTGAGATTCATCTGGGATGGGACTAGTTCACAGGTAAATGACCCTAAACTACAGTCAAATTGATGGGCATGGTATGTTGTTTTTTTGTTTTTACTTTTTTGGTGAAATAAAAAAATTCAGCCCATAGTGATGGCAGCATATTATACCAAGCATAAGGATCAGCACCTCCAGAGAGGGATTTGTAGTATTTTAATACCAGTCTCTTTATCTTTTAGGTCCTTAAGTTGGAAAGGGATGCCCCCATAAGACCCTTTAAAACACTCAAAACGTTCTCCGTAGTACACTAAAAAGACAGTGTGGGTAAAAGAGGGGTTAAACTTCTCCAGCCTTAGTGACCTGTTAAAGAGGATCCATTATTCTAGTTCAAGAAGACACCAGCTTAAATTAGCCCTTTCAACAGCAAATGCTCCCCTGACTGCCCTCCTCTTCGTTAAACACATCAACCTAGAGTAAATCCTGGGGCAACAAAGTTTACCCATGTCTGCTTTACTCTGGGGCTTCCAGTACCGTATTAAATTATAGATCTTCTGCACAGTAACTGAAGTTTAGGATTTCAGGGCAAATGCTTCAGCCCTGTGCTGTCAATGATCAGTTACTTTTATTAATTTAATAACCCCTTTCTGACTGCCCTATAGCAGATATACTGCTACAGAGAGGCAGGGGTGCACAAAAGCACGTATATACAGTATATGTGATTTTGCATTTCCAGGTAGGGGACACGTGCGCCCTACCCGCACTGCCATTCGAGGTCGCGACTGTCAATCTGGGCATCGGCAGGCAATTACTTGCTGACGCAAAGTGATTACCAAGCATCTTCAATGGGGAGGAGAACTGTATGTAAACAATACAGTTTTCCTCCCTGTCTGCTCATGCACACACTGTTTTGGCTGGCAGTACACAGCACAGCCATGCAAAGCAGTGTGATTATAGTGAAGCACACGGACACAAACACAAGTGAAACAGCACACAACACACTGTTAACCCTTTGATCGCCCCTCATGTTAACCTCTTCCTGCCCAGTGCCATTAGTACAGTGTCAGTGCTTTTTTTTTTAGCACTGATCACTGTATTGGTGTCACTGGGGATGTCAGTGACACCAAGCCAGTTCCCCCCAGTGTCAGAATGCCCGCAGCAGTCCTGCTATAAGTTGCTGATTGCCTCCATTACTTGTAAAAATAGAATAAATAAAAAAATTCCATTATCTATACCGCCATTTGTAAACGCTATATCTTTTACGTCAACCAATTAATTTACACGTATTGGGGTTTTTTTCTAGCAAAGACATGTAGCAGAATACACTTTGGCCTAAATTTATGCTGAAATTAGATTTAAAAAAAAAAAAATTTACTGGACATGTTTAATAGCAAAAAAAAAAAATTGTTTTTTTTTCTCAAAATTGTTGGTCTTTTTTTTTATAGCACAAAAAAATAAAAAATGCACAGACAATCAAATATCGTGGAAAAAAATGCTCAATTCATAGAAGAAAATGGACATAAATTTGATTTTTGGTGCAGCGTTGCATGACCGCGCAATCATCAATTAAAATAACCCAGCACCATAACACAAAAAATGGCCAGGTCTGGAAGAGAGGTAAATCCTCAGGAGGGAAAGTGGTTAAGAAATGTTAGAGGCTAAACAATGTTTCTTCAAAAAATAAACAAATAAATAAAGTAAAAAAAAATCAAAAGACCTGCAGAATAGATCCTTGGAGCTGAATGATTGTTTGATTATTCACCAATCTCTATTTGCAATCAAAGAACATTATATTGAAAATGTCTATTTTGGACATATCTTTCACTGATTCATTGTCTGTTTAACAAGGTCACTAATGGAACTGCTACTGTATCACAAGGCTCTACTTGCTTAAAGTAATTTCTAAGTAAACATGACATAGTCTTGCAACCTGACAACAAATTAGAAATAGTGGGGGTTGGGGGTGGCCATTGACAGTTTTGCTGACAGTAAAATAGAAATACTGTATGTAAACTGTTTGTGTCTACTCGATCAGATTGTGTACAAAGAGAAGTCCACAAATGAGCGCATTAGCAATTTTGTTTTCAAGATTTGTCAGCTAGACCTCCCGTATTTGTAATGTATACTCCATGGGGTTACTCTACTTATAAAGGGATATACTTTTTCTCTAAATGCGTACATTTTATATAGATTTAAATATCTACAGTACAATAGGTACAAGTCTGTCTAAAAGACAAGTAAAGGGATATGTGTCTGAAACAGGGACAGCTGGAAGGCTTGGTTTATAAAAAAAAAAACAAACACATGCTCAAGTTCTTGCAAACTCTCTCAATTCGCCTTGTTATTACTTTGCTGTTCACATGTATATTTTGTGTTTGCATTTTTTTTTTTCAAATAGGAAATGGGATTTCTGCTTTCATATTCAACAATGATATTATCTAAAACACAACTGCATTGTACAATTCATAAGCAATAATGATATGTCTGCTTAAAAAAAACTGAACAATTCTTTACAATAATGCAGATTGTTCAGTGTCAACAGCTGGGAAAACACAGTAAAAGCATCTGCCTGTTTTTTAACAATTAATTTAAAACATACAATAGCAACAGAGTCAAACTCTTGCAAACAATCCGATCATCAGCCATGCATCACCATCTTAGAGAGAAATTAAATAAACACATTTCTCATGAGTTAGTAAGCAAAGAAGCTTTAACCATCATTTGCATGTACCAAAATATATGCATGATCAAGATATTTATTAAGGCTCGTTATGACTATTTGTTCAAATTTCCAGCATTCTGTGCAGGTGCAAGCAATGACATTGTTACAAAGATTTCAAATGGGATTGCAAAAAAATGAAACTTTAGGTTATGAGTTGAGAGCTAAGCGGTTTTGCTTATGAATCAAAGCCTGATCATTGGTTGTCTGATTTTCTAAACACGTGCCCAAAGATATGCACAAAATATCATTTACAAATGCAGTGAAACTAAATACTCCTGCAGTGATCTTGCTTAACCCCTGCCAAGTTATTTACTTTCTCTGTCTACAATTAGGGAAGCTTACCTTTACTTTCTGTCCCAGAGATTTCACAGGAAATTAGAGGAAAAGTGAAGGTAATTTCCTTCTTAGACAGTGATACCTGGAACGGATGCTCCCATTTGAAGATTTCCCAATATTGCTTGTTCTGGGGACTGCTATATAATTTTAGACTTTCCCGCACTTTCTTTCCTATTGACAATGATCACTGTTGCAAATAGAGGGCTACACCTCCCCAGTGGAAACACAGACAGCAATAAAACTCAACAGATGATCTACCCCTTCCAATTTCACCAAAACACTAAAACAAAATTCACCAAAAATGAAACAAAAAGTTTTCCAGTATAATAGTCCTGAACGTACAGATTTTTAATCCAATTGAAAAAAAAACTATACCTGATTACTAAAAGCATATTCCAATGTTTGCAAAAGAAAACATTGTAAACTCACCTATATTGCACAAGCAAACAAATGCTCATTTATTACGTTTTTTGCTTTGGAGCCTGTACAACATTGCAGCAATGATCACTGGATCTTGGGTTTAAAGCACATTCTCCTACAGTTTCTTCTTCCAGCCCCAGATCCTAATGAAGGTATGGATATTTGGTTTTGGAGTTTGGGGAAGTAAACAATGAACTACCATATGTATACTCTATTGAAAACTACATGCCCTTATGTCATGATGGCAGATAGGACATGTAGTATTCCATTCACAGATCCACACATTCACAACCTCATGTCCATGCCAAGTTATAAAAAAAAAAAAAAAAAAACCCCAAAATAACAGAAGTAGTGGGAGGTAGGCAATTTAAGGGTGAGGGGTTGCAAAAAGTAACCTTGTTGCATGGTATACCCCACCTTAAATATGTACGTAACATGAAACAATGTCAGAAAGGTCAAAATATCCTTTAATACCAGCTCTCCAACCCTGTTCACACTAAAAAAGTACATGTGTCAGTTATCAATTATACCCCCCCCCCCCCCTCCTTCCCATTTGAAGATTTCCCTATACTTCTTGTTCTGGGGAGTGCTATAAAATTTTAGACTTTCCCGTACTTTCTTTCCTATTGACAATGATCACTGTTGCAAATAGAGGGCTACATCTCCCCAGTGGAGACACAGACAGCAATAAAACTCAACAGATGATCTAACCCTTCCTATTTCACCAAAACACTAAAACAAAATTCACCAAAAACGAAACAAAAAGTTTTCCAGTATAATTGTCCTGAACGTACAAATTTTTAATCCAATTGAAAAAAAAACTATACCTGATTACTAAAAGCATATTCCAATGTTTGAAAAAGAAAAATTTGTAAACTCATCTATATTGCACAAACAAATGCTCATTTATTAGGTTATTTGCTTTGGAGTCTGTAAAACATTGCAGCAATGATCAATGGATCTTGGGTTTAAAGCACATTCTCCTACAGTTTCTTCTTCCAGCCCAGATCCTTCTGAAGGTGTTGATCTTTGGTTTTGGAGCTGGGGAAGTAATCAATGAACTACCATACATATACTCTTTGGAAAATTACATGCCCTTATGTCATGGTGGCAGATAGGACTTGTAGTATTCCATTCACAGATCCACACATTCACAGGCTCATGTCCATGCTAAATTATAAAAAAAAACAACAAAAGTAGTGGGAGGTAGCTAATTTAAGGGTGAGAGGTTGCAAAAAGTAACCATGTTGCATGGGATCCCCCACCCTAAATATGTACGTAGCATGCAAAAATGTCAGAAAGGTGAAAATAGCCTTTCATACCAGCTCTCCAACCCTGTTCACACTAAAAAAAAGTATATGTGTTAGTTATCACTCCAACAGAGTTCTGTAAACTCTGGCATTTTTGTGTAACTATAAATTCCATTTTTATCTGCTCAGTTTCTAACTTACAAGATACAGAGCTAGAAAGCTGTTAAAGCCTTTAAGTGACAGGGTTAATTTAGTGTCAGACTACTGTCTGACGCTTATAACATACACTACTTACATATAAGGAGAAAGAGATGAATGAAGACCAAGCTAGCAGCCAGCACAGTAGTTCAGCACAGCAGTTCAGTGAATGCTGATTGAAGACATACTGTTTGACATTGCAAAACTATGACTGGCTATCTGACTGGAAACTCCTAGTTCTCCTCTATTGTCATGCCAGTCTCAAGCATCGTCTCTTAGGATAGAGACATCTGCCTGTGCTTAATAGCAATTACCATGCTGCCAAAAGCTGCCACAAAGAAAAGAAACGCAAGATCTAGCAGACATATATCTCCAGCAGCTAGACGCATGAGAGTGAAGTGGAAAAGGACATAATTGTGGGACTTTAAAAACATTTTGCATGCAGAGAGGAAGTTCAAAATGGATGACAAAGAGTGGAAACCCCATAAATTTATGAAATCAATGAAGAGATGTGTCATGTAGATTGGTCTGTATGGACACAGCCATTGCTGGTGGTAAACAGAAGATTTTGCTAGAAATAAAGAAAATAAATACAAAGAAAGGGTAGAGCAATGTGAAAAACTTTAAAACTAATTTGCTTGGGGAGCCCATTTACAAAGCAGTGGTGTGGTCTTAAGGTAGCCATACTGCGGTCTTTAAAAAAAAGTCTAATAAAAAAAAAAAACACTGTGCTTGGCTTTACACATGCATATTTTGGACTCAAAGGAAAGCAGATCACCGATAAAATGATTAAGTTAAAATAAAAAAAAA